TTAGTGTGACGAGAAAAGCACTTAAATTCACAACTTGCAGCCAATGATCTTTCACTTTTCTTCACCCGCTTTCTGAATACCCAGACTTATTGTTAATTGAAACTGCGACGCTTGTTACTGTATAGTCCTTGATTTACTGTAACAGATTGTATTTATTGTATCTTTAATGTATACAGGATCTAATATCTTCTTCTCCTACTGTAAATTCTACTGAATGTTGTAGTTCGTAGACTTAATCGGCGACCAATTTCTTTCACCACATTGTCAGGACGCAAGAGACGATTATTCGTTTTTTAATTAAGGAGAATCTGTATCGTGCGATATATTGTCTGAAAATACATCAAAAGAGATAAACGAATGCTGATATTACCGAATACTCTTCGTAAATAAGAAATTCATTATAAATGTATTACATTACGTAAGTCTCGCAATTAAAAAAATATTAAAGAAAACCTTATACTTTGTAAGTCTCGAATGTATGATTCCCGCAATAAAGAGACTCCCGCAACGTGAATGTGGCAGAAGAAAGAAGGAAAGACGACAATCTGGCAGGTAAATGATACACATATTACTTACAAATTTTTTTTCAATTTTTTTAGTCTCGTTTTGATAATAAATAATCCATAACAATATATATTTATACACATAGAAATTTACAACTTACGAAGCAGCTACAGCATGTAAATCCTCCATCAACCTCGTTAAATAAAAATAAAATGTAGGTGACTTTTTTCTATCTATCATTCTCGCGAACACCGATATTAGAATTCTACGAGGAAATAGTGGTAACATTCGAGTTCGTGTCCGAATTACATTCATTGTCCGTTCCTTGGAATAAATATTTAAAATGCTGTACGTATGGCTGACAATGTTCCCCCTTCGTGAAGGCCGTGGTGTTGTGCAGTCTCAAATTACGCTGCTCGAAGAACTTAAAAACCGAATGAAAGAGCGTCGCATCGTCGGTAGCTTTCGCTGCCTCTAAGAATTTTCTTGCAGATACTTGATCCGCCATTCCGACCGATCGAACATATCTGAAGCGTAGATACATAATAAATACGTGTCCAAATATTGATAAGATCGAAGATAGCTTTCTAAATTACCGTAGGGCAGCCAATATATGTCCCTTTGATAAAAGCACTTCGATTATCTCCTCGTGTGCATTCCCCAGTCGTTTCAACATGTCCAACGCCAATTGATGTGCCGCCGGATACAGGTTTTCCAGAGAAAGCAGCAAGCAAGCCAAAGGCTTCGAATCGGCAACCACGTGATACTGTAACAACTGATGGAGCTGATAGTAAGCCTTTCGATGTACCAACGTCGTAATGACTAATTCGTGCAAGTAATGTTGCACTGGTATTCCGTGTTCAGCTAATGATCTGCAAAATCAACAATTAGATAAAATAAACTACTCTCGATAAATTTATTGTAAATTATCACCCATTACGACTCTTATGTACCTGATATATTCGAGTAGAACCCATATTATCATCTTTGGTTCTATTGTATTCTCGGGAAACTTAGATAATATGTGACTATACATATCGCTTTGATCGAGTAACAGTTTATACTTAAAATTTTCAGCTACTGTTGTTACATTTTTAACATTATTCTGCAAAGGCGTTCCCATCTGCAATTGATAAACGGACATATTTAATATTGCTCATTACCATATACAATACATATAATAATGTACAAAAAAAGAGAAATATAATCTAAAATTACCTGGTTTTGTATTTCATTTTCTAGATAATTTCTGTATACAAAGTTAAGTTTATCGAATATGGTTGGCATCTCCATTAAACTTACAGGTAACTGGGTCATAAAACTCTGCAGAACTTGTATTAATATCTGCTTAGCATTTGACCGCTGCATTAAAAATTCTACTAGAAGCACCTTATCCGTGATTAAGTTCACCAAAGCTTCCAATCTGAGCTCGACATACCTGTTTCGTTATTGATAAATGAGTGAAGTCATGGGCGAATATAAAGATTTAAATCAAGATGAGATATCGTAATTAAACGTTAATTAAACGTACCATAAACAACCCAATTTTACATCAATTATTATATTTGGTTGAAAAACAACCCAATTAGGGGAATCTGTATAGTGTTAAGATTTAATACTTGGATCAATAATGTTAAGGTATTATTATAAATATTCAAATATTACAATTATATCAACAAGTATTGTTATAATTGTAACATATACTTTCTGATAAAAGGATACATAACTGGCACGGTTGATACATCTGATCGGACAAGGTCGTACCTGGCACTTTAAGATTGAAAGGCTTAATCGGTTTCGCCGTAGTTATACTTGTATGATGCATTACCGTTCCATCGCTCACGCCAGACAGCATAATGTCAAATATCATTGACGTCTACATAAAAATACAAATGTAAATTCCACTATTCTAAATCAACTTGTTCATATTCAACAGTAATACATACCTTTGATGCTTGGTGATGAACAATGATGAGATTATCAACAACATTAATAGCAAATCTACCACCAACGTCCAGTTTTAACATGTGACTCTTTTTAATAGTCATCATTCTGCAAGAAAATGTAGCTGTAGCATTGTGCAGACACTGCGAATTGCGAAGTATGTTCCAAAGCATTGAATCTTACTTGTGTACAGTATAGACATATACAAATGCCGTTCCCATTGAGCGGTTAGCTCCCGGTTGATGCCGTAACAAAATTATACTAGGCGTTCCATATAACACAGCCAATGCTACATCCCTTTCGGAAACAGCCAGCTTCCCTGGTTTCGTTACGCCATGTTCGACTGGAACATCATATCATAAACGTAGAGAAATTTTTTTGCATGGTTAAATATATTTAAGCATACGCTACTTCCTACTAACTTTCAAATTTAGTCAACTTGTGAAGATTGCCGGGTGTAACGTGTAATGCTTGTATTTGATTGCCAACTGTGCCAGATGACAGTAGTACCAGAAAGCTCTTGGGACAGAATACGAACCAATTTACTCCTAAGCTTAAGCATTTTACTGCTCTAACATTGCGTTTCTCTGGATTCACCTGTAACAACAGCGATTTCAGCGCTGACTGTCAAAGTTATCTCCAAATCAAAATAATATAAAACAAACGATATGAGAATTTCGCACTTGAAACAGTTCTACTCCATGATCCGTGACTACAAGTATCTCAGTGCCGTGGGTCCACACGAAGCCTAATATCGTGGCGTTCTTTCCTTTGCACGACTGAGAGTACTCGACGTGGTCCAAACCAGAGACAGGGGAGTAATTAACAAATTCCACCGACGAGTTAGTACGCTGAATCGCAAGTACGTTCATGTCGGGAGAGAACTTGATGGATATTACCGGGCCTTTGTCCTCCATCCGAAAGTTCAAGTTCTGGTCCGGGCCCTTAACGAGCACTCCTGTAACACCTCCCGAGCGGACGGCGAACACCTGTATACAGATTGCATTGTTTGTCACTGTATCGATTGGAGACAAAGGAATTTCACGTGAGACAAAGTCGACTAACTTGCTGTTTCGAATCATCGAAAAACACATTCGTGAGGCAGCTGACCGATTCGAACCTGATGGGATCAGGAGACAGCTCCAGGTAGTAATCATCACTCTTCCCCCGATCATCAGCTTCCATGTCTGGCATATCTGATCATCTGATCCTACCAGACGTTTGACAGTTCTCCGGTGCTGCTTCTAGAGATGAAAGCTCTTTCTTCTCTCAGTACCCTTGTTTTTCCTACCTTTGTTACCGAATTTAGTTGCCTGCCCTACTCCGCACTACTGCATTCTACCTGCCACACAAACGAAGTTACCCAAGTACAAAGTAATATAAACATTTACCAATAGACGGTAATAACATAAGTTACGCATATTGTTATATTTTATTAATCTTGACAGAGAGAAACCTCTGAGAGAGGCCATCCCGGCCTTTTTCATGTGTTGCATTTTCCGACGCGCCGCTTGAGAAAGTGCAACTCAACTATATACGTCGTATCGCTCGGTAACCGCACATGGTTTGCGTCCGTGCTAATGGTTCGTGTCCGAACTAGCCAGCTGGAGGGGATGTTCTGGCCGCGACGGCCGCGCTCGTAGAGGCCCTCCACCACCCCCACCGACTTTAATCGGCGGTCCTCTTTTTTTCCATGTGTGCTTTTTTATCATTTATAATTTTTTCTTATCATAGAAATTATATTTTAAAAATTTATTTTACATTAAATTTATTTTACATTAAAAAATAGAAAATGTACAGAATTGTTATACATTTATATAAAATACAATAAATTTAAATATAATACGTTATACAAAGAAATTCGAGAAATTTATATATACTTAAATTATATTTATATTACAAATACATACATTGATTGTAAACCAAGTCCACTTTCTGGCTGTATTGCTAAAGTTAATAAACATATATATATTACAAATACATACATTTGAGATATTATACTAATGCCAGATTACACGAAGACGTTCGAAATAAGTATAATAATATCAAAATTTACTCTGCAATATATATATAACTTGACTCTACAATATATTTGACGTAATTGTCATAAATTCGTTACCTTAATTATCAAATTTTAATCATCACTCACCGACCGATGCGCAACAGCGGAGTTATTCTGCAATATCGCTACGATGATTCTGTAACAAAGAAATGTAGAATCCGAATTAAAGCAGAGTGCAAGAGAAAGAAACAGTCTATATTTCAAAAAATGATTACTATATAAACACTAAATTTGATATTTTTGTTTATTAAGCAAATTTAATGAAATAATTTTGTAATTTTTTAAGAATACTCTATCCATTGAACATAAGCTTCTATAGAATTTCTAAAATAAAACTCTTTTTCTCTAATTTTTATTTTCTGAATAACTATCCGGTTAAAAAATAAATTACTCATCAGTATAAGATATAATATGTGTATATGTATAAATAAATTATATTTACCGCATGTTGCTCCGCCGGCGCCTGATGCCTCCTCCTAGGCCTCTACCTCCTCTCAGGCTGCTCGGGATGTCAGTTACTGTTTCTTCGATGCGAAGATACTCCTTCCCGCGTGGATATTTTCTGTAACATAAAAATAATCGAATCGATTAAATAATTGTCACGCACATCGAACATCTTATTTGTTATTACGATTAATGTTTTCCTAAATTACTTCTTCGAAAAAAGTCTCTACGTTAGAATCAACTTGAATCAAATTTTTCGATTTATTTTTTTTTACTAATTTATATTCCGAAACACGGTTCAATGTAGCAACTAAATAAAAACAAACGAAAAAAAAATTCTATAATATCTTTAGAAAAAATAAAAAATAACACTTACCAGAAGTGTTAAGTACGCCGATGCCCGATGCCTCTCCTAGGCCTCCACCTCCTCTCAGGCTGCTCGAGATGTCCATCGTGTTCCCTCGATGCGAAGCTGAAGGTCCTTCCAGCGTGGATATTTTCTGTAACATAAAAATAATCGAATCGATTAAATAATTGTCACGCGCATCGAACATCTTATTCATTATTTAGATTAATGTTTTCTTAAATTACTTCTCCAAAAAAGATCTCTACGTTAGAATCAACTTGAATCAAATTTTTCAAATTATTCCTTTTTACTAATTTATATTTCGAAACACGGTATAATGTAGCAACTAAATAAGGATAAACGAAAAAAGGAATTCTATAATATTTTTAGAAAAAATAAAAAGTAACACTTACCAGAAGTGTTGGTACGTTGATGCCCGATGCCTATCCTAGGCCTCCTCCTCCTCTCAGGCTGCTCGGAATGTCAGCTACGCAGCATTCCCTCGCTGCTCCGATGTTACGTTCAGCGTCGTTATTTTCTGAAATATTCAAATGAACGATTCGATTAAATAAAGACAGAAGAGATAGAAAATTTTTGGACATAAGTAACATAGTACGTAAAAATCAATTACACTCACCACTTTCTTTCAGGCTGCTCTGGCCGCAAAATCCACCTCCACCTTATTTGGGTCAAATAGGAGTCTCGAGCCACATTGAGACTCGTGGCAATGCAGTGTGACTTCATCCATTAAGCAAGAAAAATTAAGAAGCCATTTCGGCCATATTGCATTAATTTTACGACGTTGTTGCAAAATAGTCGAAATGTTTCTTGACCTTTCTCACTTAATAGAAATGTAATTGCTAAAAGAAATTAAAAATTATTCTCTA